CTACCTGTAGGATCGAAGGGACAAGGCGGGACACAACGCACCGCTATTTAGGTTCTTAATTCAGGGTTGGGGCGCATCTCCTTGCGGTTGGGAGCATCGAATCTTTCTGTCCGCCCCGGCGTGCCGCGGTCCCAGGGCCGAGGCGCCTCGCTCCCCCGATGCGGGTTAACGTCCTCAAAAGTCCCCTCCGGGCCGCGCCTTTGATCCGGCCGCTGCTGGCGCCTAAAAACAACATCGCTTGTCTGCCTATTAGAGGCACTGACTAATCGTGACAGATTGTTTATTCTCGCAATTAGCGATGCAGCCGCTCCTCCGAGAGCTGCTCCCCCCCCCCCCCCCCCCCCCCCCCCCCTCCCCCACCTCCGCCCTGCCCCGCCCCGGCCCGGTGGGGGCTGCAGGCAGCGGGATACCGGCCCCGGCCCCGCGGGGTGCGCTGCGCTGCGCCGGGAGGCGGCATCCGGAGCTGCGTGCGTCGGGAGTTGGGATGCAGGGCAGCACCCATTGTATGCATAGCATACATAGCATATATACACCCCGTCCGCTCGCGGTGTGTGGAACTGTGCGAGGGACAGTCCATTCCAACCAGATCCCGTTGCTTATCATCTCATAAAACCTCCATTCTATCAATTCATTTCATAATTTATCTGCCCCTAATCTCCCGTCTTTATTGAGTCCGGCTAAAAGGGATTTCTCCGGCCCTCCCGTTTGGATAATTGCCTCTAAATGAGTGCGGAGCCTCCTGTGTTTGGCGGAGATTACAGCCCCGCAGCTATTAATAAACTTTTCGCAGCGAGCGGCCATCGTGGTGTGAGAGCGGACCCCAGTACCGCACCGGTCCGTCCGGGGCGCGGGGATAAGTAAGGCGCATTTACAAACCCGGATAGCCGGGATTTCATGGGGCGGGGGCTGGGATGCTCCTTTTTAGGCGAGCGAGCATTTAATCATCCCACGTCACGCATGCACCTAAGCCATGGGACACGGAGCAAACACACCTCGGAGCCGACGTTCATTTCAAAACAAACCAAAACCCCAAAATAGCACTTTTTTTCTTCCTTTTCCTTTTTTTTTTTTTTTTTTTTTCCCCTACTGCACGCAGGGATCCCTCCGAGCCCCCATGCCCAACCCAGCCCCATATTCGGGCCGCTCAGCTCCGCTCCTCTACCGCCGTTTACCCGATAGCAAATACACTCCCGACGTCTGAGCCCCACCCGGCGCCGTGTTCCCAGCCCGTCCCCAGCCCCGCCGCCCGGACCCTTCCCTCCGAGCGCAGCGCACCCCCCGCTCCGCACGCCGCCCCGACGGCCGCGCCGCGCCGCTCCCCCTCCCTCTCCCGGGGCTGCCGTCGGGCCTCCGTCTCTCCTCAGCCAATGGGGAACTCCCGCCCCGCCCTCCTGCGCGCTGATTGGGTGGCGCCGCCTCCCGCGCCGCTTTATCAACCGTCGCCGCCCGCCGCGGGGCCGGACCGCGCCGACGGCTCCCGCGTCCCCGCCGCGCCCCCATGAGCTGCGGCCGCCGCTCCCGCGGAGCACGGCGACAGCGGGGCGGCCCTGCATGGCCCCGGCTGCGGACATGACCACCGCGCCCACCGGCGTCCGCAGCGACGACCCGCCCGCCTCCGCTTTCAGCAAGCCCGGCGGCGGCCTCCCCGTCGCGGCGGCGATGGGCGGCGAGGAGGAGAGCGACAAACCCAAGGTGTCCCCTTCCCCGTTGCCCTTCAGCGTGGAAGCGCTCATGGCCGACCGCAGGAAGCCGCCGGGCGGCAGAGACGGCCCCGAGGGCTCCGGCCCCACGCTGGGCTCCGCCCGAGCCAACCTCGGCTCTCTGACGACGGAAGCACCGACGTCGCCGCTGCCTCTCGGCGGCCACTTCCCGTCCGTCGGGGCGCTGGGCAAGCTGCCCGAGGACGCGCTGCTCAAGGCCGAGAGCCCCGAAAAGCCGGAGCGGAGCCCATGGATGCAGAGTCCCCGCTTCTCGCCGCCTCCGCCCAGTAAGTAGAGGTGGGAGGGGGAGAAGCTGCGCGGCCGGGCGGGGGTTTCCAAGCCACCGAAACGCTGCGAGTGTCGCCCGAAGGCAGCGGCTGCGGAGGAGAAGAGAGAGGGCGCGTCAGGGCGACTGCTGGGCCAGATGTTAACTGGGGAGGGGAAAATAAATAAATAAATAATCAGCTCTGCCCTTATAGTTAACTCTGGGTTCAGTCTGCGAGCCCAGAGTTGGCTTCAGCAATGTTTTGGATATCTTTATTTTTTCTGAAAGTGGCCCTAATTTTTTTGTAAGGACCCACAGAGATGCGGTCCCATCAATGCCTCCGCGTTTGTGCGGGCTGCAGCCCCCCGCGCATCTCCCCGAAGTGCTTTATTCCGGCAGTCCGAAGAGCGGCGGTTCCCGGCGTTTCGCTGCCTTAGTACGGAGAGATGCGAACTAAGCCCGACGCTGAGAGCGGGATCGTGGAGGCCCGCGGTGTCCCCGGAATGGGGCGAGCAGCGCTGGGGCTGCTTTTGGGTGTTCACCTCTTTCCTTCTGCCTTTGGAGAAAGGAACACTTCCCAGAAAGTGGATTTATTTAAATAGAGAAGCGAAAGTTGTTTTGTATTGTTTTTTCTAAGTAAACCCGGCGCAGAACAAGGAAAACTCCTTAATATTAAGTACGAGCAGAGAATCAGAATGCCGATAGAGAGGCTGGGTGTGAATTCAGTCCCTCATTAATTACATCTTTAATCATGTACTCGGGGGCCTAACGAAGAGGCTGTGAGCCCCAGAAGCCAGCCCAGCCCTTTGAGTCGACCCTTTTCCCTTAATCCAGATAAAGGGATGCTGTGAGTCTCTGTGCAGGGCCCAATCCCTTCGTACCTGCTCCGGGTGGGGTTTTGCCATGGAGCCAGAGGATATATCCGAGCTCAAATGGCTGCGAGGGCTCTCAGTCAGGAGTTTTAAAACTCGGTGAAACTTAAGGAAATATGCGTGTTTTTCATGGGTTTTAAGCTTGCCCGGGCAGGGAGACCCAACAGATCCAAACGGTGGAGTCTTTGGGGCTTTACTTTACGAGGAATGGGGACATAATGTTCCCCGACAACTCTCATAGGGCGTACCAGGCTGCTGCTAACCTATGTCTCTTCCTCTTCTCACTGTTGTGGTTCAGGGCGGCTGAGCCCCCCCGCCTGCACCCTGCGCAAGCACAAGACTAACAGGAAGCCCCGCACTCCCTTCACCACGGCCCAGCTGCTGGCCCTGGAGAGGAAATTCCGCCAGAAGCAGTACCTGTCCATCGCCGAGCGCGCCGAGTTCTCCAGCTCGCTCAGCCTCACTGAGACACAGGTGAAGATTTGGTTCCAGAACCGCCGTGCCAAGGCCAAGCGGTTGCAGGAGGCCGAGCTGGAGAAGCTGAAGATGGCAGCCAAACCCATGCTCCCACCCGCCGCATTCGGCATCTCCTTCCCGCTTGGCGGCCCAGCAGTGGCTGGCGCATCCCTCTATGGAGCCTCCAGCCCCTTCCAGCGAGCGGGGCTGCCCGTGGCCCCTGTGGGACTGTATACGGCGCACGTGGGATATAGTATGTACCACCTTACATAGGGCTGAGCTGCCCATGCGGCCCCTGGCAGAGACTTCTCTGCTCCCCACATCCAGACCTGCGGCCCTGGGAGCTGTTCTGTGCCCGGCAGGAAGGAATCCCTAGTGTGGCCCCGCTGGCACCTGGGGAAGGAACTGTGGCAGAGAAAGGGCACAAAAGCAGCCCAGAAGGACATTTCTGCAAGGCGAGGGGCAGGAGGCAGAGCTGCCTCTCCTGTCCCTGCAGTGCAGCTGTTACCTGTGGCCATTCTTCCACCAGCTCCTGTGGAAGGGGCTCTCTCTGTGTACTATGTAATATACTGTATATTTGAAATTTTATTATCATTTATATTATAGCTATATTTGTTAAATAAATTAATTTTAAGCTACTGTTTGCTTCATGCACTTTCTTTGCTCCTTGCTCTTCTGGCAATTACATCAGACTGAATGTGTGTGGGGGACAGGAGATCAAACTGGCCCTGCCAGAGGTTATTTCTCCTGCCTGAGATCAGCACACACCTGGGGCCGTGAAGCTGTGTCTCCTTACGCTGATTCTTTCCCTTCCTCTCTTGAGAGCAGCATCTCCAGCTCTGGGGTCATTGATATTATAGTGACTGCCCCAGGCATCTGCATGGTCCGGCGAGGAGGAACTCATTCTTTTTTTCCCCTCTTGTTGGGAAGCAGCCGGGCTGCAGCCCCGACGGCTGTAGGGATGAGTTGACCTCTTCCTCCCCATCGGGGCCGAGATCGAGGGTTGGGCTTCCAGCGCATCTCCGTTCTGCAGCCCAAGCTCAGATGAAGGGAGCCCTGTGGGGTGCCGGGGAGGAAAGCGGGTTATCGGGGTTCAGGCGGCGCGGAAAAAGTTTGATGACCACAGGCAATGCTGAGGCTGGGGTTGAGGTAGCGGGGACGGGGCTGCATGAAGTTGGGGTATGGAGATGGAATTGTTCGTGAAGACGCAGTCCTCGGAGAGCTCCGCCGCCCTGGGGACGGCGGCCGGGACCGCTCGGCGCCTGTCCCTGCCCGGCATCGCGGATCCGGGCGCCCCGCAGCCCGCAGCGGCCGGCCCCGCTGGGAGCGGTCACCGCGGTCGGGCAGAAAGCTCCGGGCATGGCCGAGGCAGCGGGCTGCTCTGCTGGGCTGGGCTGGGCTGGACTGCACCGAGCCGGGCCGCCCTCCGTCCGCCGGCACGGCAGCCACCGCATCCCCGCGCTGGGTGACAGCCCAGGGACCCTTCATTGCCCCCAGACCCAATTTCGTTGTTCGGGTCGTTGGAGAAAGGGAGCGCTGATTTCCCGTTTATATATACATATATATATATATATATATAGCCTAGTGCTTTGTCTTTATTTTCTGGGAATGAGCGCAGAGAAACTGGGACTACTGGGACTTTCTCTAGTTTGTTGTTTTGTTTTTTTTTTTCCCTATCCTTTTTTTTTTTTCCCTTTTCTTTTTCTTTTTATTTTTTTCCCCCGCTGCTTTCATTTGCAGCAATTTAAAACGTTAAGGTTGAGGCAAAGTTAGAAGGAAAATAATTGCTGTAATGAGGCTGGGCAATCTTCTGCAGGCACCGCGGCTCCAGCGAGACTGTAGCTGGGGGCGAGGCGGGACTTTTATCATCCTCTAAATATCAATGATGCTTTCAATAACTCAGCGAAACAACATACCTGAACCCAACCGCTTTCTGCCGAGCTCGCAGTTCTAATCCCCCTCTTCTCATCTCTCGCTCCTTCGCTGGGCTGGGGGTGAGTGGGTGAGGTGTTTGGTTTTTTTTTTCCTTTTTCTTTCTTTCTTAT